AAGCGTCCGATCTCTCCACCATCATAAATAGACTTCAAACTAAAATTAGTCAAAAGAAATGTAGAAGGTTATTTCATATTCATTACAGGAAAAATCCATCAAGAGGAAATCTTAATACTGAACATCTATGCCTCAAATACAAGAGCACCATCATAAGTAAAAGAAACACTTCTAAAGCTTAAATCACACATCAAACCACACACACTAATAGTGGGAGAATTCAACACCCCACTCTCACCACTGGACAGGTCTGTCAGACAGAAACTTAACAGAGAAATAAGGGAAATAACAGATGTTGTGAATCAAATGGATTCATATCTATAGAACATATCTATAGATACAGACATCTATAGAACATTCCATCCAAACAGAAAAGAATATACCTTCTCAGCTGGGTGGTGGTGGCGCACTCCTTTAATCCCAGCACTCGGGAGGCAGAGGCATGCGGATCTCTGGGAGTTCGAGGCCAGCCTGATCTACAAGAGCTAGTTCCAGGACAGGCACCAAAGCTACAGAGAAACCTTGTCTCAAAAAACCAAAAAAAAAAAAAAAAAAAAAAAAAAAAAAAAAAAAAAAAAAAAAAAAAAAAAAAAAAAAAAAAAAAAAAGAATATACCTTCTCAGCACCTCATGGAACTGTCTCAAAAATTGACTATGCACTAGGTAACAAAGCAAACCTCCAGAGATACAAAAGAATTGGAATAATCCCATGTATCTTATCGGATAACCATGGCTTAAAATTAGAATTCAACAGCAACACTAATTTTAAAAAGCCCACAAACACATGGAAATTAAACAACACTCACTTGAATCATCACTGGGTGAATAAAGAAATAAAGGAAGAAATCAAAGACTTCCTAAAATTCAATGAAAATGACCATACAACATACTCAAATTTATGGGACACAATAATAGTAGTGTTAAGAGGAAAATTCATAGCACTAAATGCCTACATAAATAAGCTGGAAAAATCCCACACTAGTGAGTTAACTCAAGAACAAAAAGAAGCAAACTCACCAAGGAGGACTAGACAGCAAGAAACAATCAAATTGAGAGCTAAAATCAACAAATAGAAACAAATAAAACAAGACAATGAGAAAAAGGGTTGGTTCTTCGAGAAAATCAACAAAATAGACAAACCTTTATCCAAACTAACCAAAAGGCAGAGAGAGAATATCCAAATTAACAAAATCAGAAATGAAAAGGGGGATATAACAACAGATACAGAGGAAATCCAGAGAATCATTAGGTCATATTTTAAAACTGTACTATACAAAATTGGAAAACTTAAAAGAAATGGACAATTTTCTGGATAAATATCACTTACCAAAATAAAATCAAGACCAAATAAGCAAATTAAATAGACCTTATAACTGCTAAAGAAATAGAAACAGTCATCAAAAATCTCCCAACTAAAAAAAGCCCAGGGCTAAATGGTTTCAGTTCAGAATTCTACAAGATTTTTCAAAGAAGAATGAATATAATTGTTCCTCAAATTCTTCCACACAATAGAAACAGAAGAAATATTGCCAAACTCTTTTTATGAGGTTACAATTACCCTGATACTCAAACAATAAAAGACATTACTAAGAAAGAGAATTACTGACAATCTCACTCGTGAACATTGATGCAAAAATACTCAGTAAAATATTGGCAAACCGAGTCCAAAAATACATCAGAAAAATCATCCACCATGGTCAAGTCAGCTTCAACCCAGAGATGCAGGGATGGTTTAACATTACAAAAATCTGTTAATGTAATCCACTATATAAACAAACTGGAAACAAACAAACAAACAAAAAACATGATCATTTCATTAGATGCTGAAAAAGCTTTTGACAAAATCCAGCACCCCTTCATGATAAAGGTCTTGGAGAAATCAAGGATACAAGGAACATACCTAAGCACAATAAAGGCAATAAACAGCAAGCCAACAGCCAACATCAAACTAAATAGAAAGAAACTCAAAGCGATCCCACTGAAATCAGGAACAAGACAAGGCTGTCCACTCTCTCCATATCTATTCAATATAGTTCTTGAGGTTCTAGCTAGAGCAATAAGACAAAAAAAAGGGGGGGGGGGAGATCAAGGGGATACAAATTGGAAAAGTCAAACTCTCAGTGTTTGCTGATGATATGACAGTTTACGTAAGTGGCCCTCAAAATTCTATCAATGAACTTCTACAGCTTATAAACACTTTCAGTAATGTAGCAGGATACAAGATTCACTCAAAAAAAATCAGTAGCCCTCCTTTACACAGATGATAAATGGACTGAGAAAGAAATCAGAGTAATATCACCCTTCACAATAGCTACAAATAACATATCTCAGAGTAACTCTAACCAAATAAGTGGAAGACCTCTATGACAAGAACTTTTAAATCTTTGAAGAAAGAAATTGAAGAAGACACCAGAAAATGGAAAGATCTCCCATGCTCTTGGTTAGGTAGAATTAACATAGTAAAAATGGCAACCTTAACAAAAGCAATCTACAGATTCAATGCAATGCCCATCAAAATCCCAGCAAAATACTTCACAGACCTTGAAAGAATGGTACTCAACTTCATATGGAAAAGCAAAAAACCAGGATAGCCAAAACAATCCTGTACAATAAAAGAACTTCTGGAGGCATCACAGTCCCTGACTTCAAACTCTACTACAGAGCTACAGTACTGAAAACAGCCTGGTATTGGCATAAGAACAGACAGGAGGACAAACGGAACCAAATCAAAGACCCAGATATCAATTCACACACCTGCAAACACCTGATTTTTGACAAAGAAGCAAAAAATATAAAATGGAGAAAAGAAGGCATATTCAACAAATGATGCTGTATAACTGGATATCAACATGTAGAAGAATGAAAATAGATCCATATCTATCATCATGCACAAAACTCAAGTCCACATGGATCAAAGACCTCAACATAAAGCCAGCCACACTGAACTTCATAGAAGATAAAGTGAGAAGTACACTTGAACGCATTGGCACAGGAGACCACTTCCTAAATATAGCCCCAGTGGCACAGACACCAAGAGAAACAATTAACAAATGGGACCTCCTGAAACTGAAAAGCTTCTTTAAAGCAAAGGACATGGTTAACAAGACAGAATGGCAACCCACAGAATGGGAAAAGATCTTCAGCAATCCCGCATCAGACAGAGGCTGATTCCAAAGTATACAAAGAACTCATGCAATTGGTCATCAAAAGATCAAATAATCCAATAAAAAATATGGAGTATAGAGAACTCTCAGCAGAGGAATCTAAATTGGCTGAAGGACACTTAAGGAAATGCTCAACAACCTTAGCCATCAGAGAAATGCAAATCAAAACAACTCTGAGATTCCATTTTACACCTGTAAGATTGGCCAAGATCAAAAACACTGATACAACTTATACTGGAGAGGATGTGGGATAAAGGGAACACTCCTGCAACGCTGGTGGGAGTGTAAACTGGTACAGCCCCTTTGGATATCAGTATGGCGATTTCTCAGAAATAACCTACCTCAAGACCCAGCAATACCACTTTTGGGTATTACCCAAAGGATGCTCAATCGTACCACAAGAACATGTGCTCAACTATGTTCATAGCAGCATTATTTGTCATAGCCAGAACCTGGAAACAACCTAAATGCCCCTCGACCAAAGAATGGATAAGGAAAACGTGGTACATTTACACAATGGAGTACTACACAGCAGAAAAAAATAACGACAGCTTGAAATTTGTGAACAAATGGATGGATCTAGAAAACATATTGAGTGAGGTAACCCAGACCCAGAAAGACAAATATATGTACTCACACATAAGTGGCTTTTAGACATAAAGCAAAGAAAAACCAGCCTACAATTCATAATCCCAGAGAACCCAGACAACAAAAAGGACCCTAAGACATACATGGATCTAATGTACATGAGAAGTAGAAAAAGACAAGATCTCCTAAGTAAATTGGGAGCATGGGGACCATGGGAGAGGGTAGGAGAGGAGGGGAGAGGAAAGGAGGGCACTGGGAAAAAATAGACCTCAATAAAATCAAGGGAAAAAAAGAGGAACAATAAATAAAGAAATAAATATTTAAAAGACCTTTGATATTAAAAACTTGAAAGCAGAAATAAAGTCAATGGAAAGGTTAGGGAAGAATGATGAACTCGCCTGGTCGGGAAAGGCAAAGATCAGATGGGGGGGGGGAGGGGGGAAGGGGTGGTGGTGGTGGTGGTAAATTCACACAGCAGGAGCCTGTCTCCATCAAACAAGCTAAGGTATGAGGAGTGGGATTCTATTAGCCAGTCTGACTGTGACCACACCCGACAGAAGCATGTTAAGGCAGTGTTAGGAATAATCTTAAAACGAGCCTCTACGCCAATGCAAATAATTCCAATCAGACCAGATTAGGCCGAATAAAAATTGCCCACGTTTAATAAATGCAGTGCTCCCAGTTGGCTGGGAGCATAGCGAGAGGTGGGGGGTGGACCACGCAAAACCCAAAGACCAGGTGCTCCTTTTCTGGGCAGCAGCCTAAAGAGCCTGTGGTCCTGACCCTTCCTGGGGAGGAGTTAGCACTTGGTAGGCTCTTCAGGAGGTGGAGTCTGGACTAAGGCAATTCCGGCCAGGGGGCTTGAGATGGCGCTTTCAGCTCCATTGGCACCCTAAGGATGAATGCCAGGGGCTGGGGTGACGCTTCCAATCATCCCAGATTCCTTGGATATAGGGGTGTCAGATGGCTGGGGTCTCTCTTCCAGTCAAACAGGGAGGAAGGCTTATTTTGGCTTTTGATTCATGGGATAACATTCATCATGGTAGGGGAAGGCAGAGGGACTAGAGAAACCCATGATGGCAAAGCCAGACTATAGCCCTCAAGGCCTACTGCTACCCCCGTGCCCCACCCCCATGCCCCACTCCCCAGGGATGGCTCGCTTGCTAAAGAGCTCACCTTGTTCCCAGGATGTAAAACGCATACTCTCATAAACACCGCACTGCTGAGAACACTCATCCCGTCTGGAACTTGAAAACTCAAACTCCCACCAATAAGCTTTATTTGCATGGCTGCATATATCTGATCAAATGGCAGATGTTTACAAAGGGTAAAGTTTATTAAATGGCAAAACCTCGAACTTCGAGGTCAGTCAGCTGCCGAGTCCTCATCAACAGCACAGACTGTTTAGTGCTCGCTCTTGTCCAAGTCCAAGGGCAGCAGGTCCCATTTTCCTGGGACTGCGGGTCCATTTCCACCTTGTCTGAAGGTCAGAGAGTTTGGAGATGGACAAGCTTAGTTGCTTGTCCTAACTCAGGAGAGCTCGTCTAGTAATTCTGGTGCCCTCCTGACAGGTGGTCAGGATATGCAAATGTACTTTTGCTCCTTCTTCTGTAACTATGAGGTCACCTAGGGAGGGCACCTCCATCACTTAGACAACAGAAGGCTAAAGATTTGATGTCTCAGAGTGATACAGCCATTGACTGTGAGTTATCCTTTTTATCATGTTACCCTCCCCCCTTTATGTTGGGTATAAAAGCTGTGGAAAAATAAACATGGGTGAATTTTAGGATTTCGATCAGTGGAATGCCCTCCCAATACTTTCTGTGTTTTCTGTCTTATTATTTTTATGCATCTTCATATTCTTTACTTATATTTCTTCAATTCCTATGCTCTTACCCTGGTAGAAGTAATTTTGTCAAGGCAGGTCCTCAATAGGAAACCTCTTAGATTACTAAATCTAAATCCTGTGTGTGTCTGTCTCATCAGCAGCAAAGCTCCGCCACTCACATCTTGTTTACATTGTGGCTGTTTCAAATGGTGTAAAAATGAGCTTAATATTTACTAAAAGAGCTTATAACACCTATAGCAGTAGCTTCATTTTAATTTTTTTAATTAAGAAATTTTTTTTGTTATTTCTCCCCCAAATAAGCTAAAAAGAAATACCTGTAAAAATACCAAAAACGCATTTTAAAACCCCAAAGTGATATGACACATTTTATATGATTTACAGCTAGGACTAAAATGTCCAGTTCTATGAGGGACTCTGTAGGAAACAGAAAGACTGTACACTTCAGGCTGCGGCTATAGCTCAACAGTACAGTCCAAGCTTAGCATGTGCAAAACGCTGGATTCAAGCCCTAGCATTAAAGGGAAGGCAGAGGAGATTTGTATTCAATTCTAATTAAGTTTTGAAAAGCTGCATGTTTGCTGACAGGCACTATTGGTGAAATCAATCTGGAAGGCAGACATTTCTATGGCGGGACTGCCAGGGTTTTCCATACAACAGATTCAAGCCTTGTGCCCAGATTTTTCTCCCTTATAGTTTAAGCAAAAGCACAAATACACAAATGGTAAAAGATGCACACAGCACAGAAAGATTAAAATAACAATATCCCCTCCTAACACGGCAGATCTCATGTGTCCGAAACCCTTCAACAGTCAAACGGTCGAGCAGTTCACACGCCAAAGCTGACCTTTGGTTTGCAAACATTCATGTCCATGGACGTGTGCAGATGGCCTTTTGTCTCTGTCACAGAGAAACGCCACACGGTCTTCTACTTAGAAAGTTTAAAGGGCAACGTGTGCATGCTGTTCAACCCCCGCCGGGTCCAGGCAGCTCCTCAGACATCACTGGTCTAGCTGTGGCTCCAGATGGTCCCAGGTGTTGACTCTGAAATTTAGGAATCACATTTATTAACAGGGCTCCCCCTGCCCCCACCCCGAGACAAAGTTTCTCTGTGTAACAGTCCTGGCTGTCCTGTAACTCATTTTTGTAGATCAGGCCAGCCTCAGATTCAGAGATCTGCCCGCCTGCCTCTGCCTTCTGAGTGCAGGATTAAAGGCGTGTACCATCATGCCTGGTTAACAGGGAATTTTTAAAAGAAAAATTTCCTTTAAAATTAGTGTTATGATTCTAGCCACACAGCAGTGGCGGGCACTTTCGGGTTCCAGGGCTACTCATGTGTGAACAAGCGCTCAGGCAAAATACTTAGCCACCCCGGAGACCTTAAAAGGCCCTGCATGGCCTGCGTGCAGCATGGTTGTATCACCTACGTATGATGCAGCTACCTAAGCCCTGGGCGCCACGTGTGAGCTCCGTCATCTGTGTACAACATAGCTACGTCAACCCCCTGCATTAGGCAGCCCTTAAGAGCTGGCCACGCCATCTTCAAGCTCTTTCTGCACACCGACGTCCCCAGGCCTGTTCACGTGTCTCTAATAAACTCTTCTTTGTTATATGCTTAGTTCTCACTCACACCAGGTAATTTCAATTAAGGAATCTGAAGGGGGGGTGGAGCAGAGGCAAGGGGATCTGCGTTTGAGGTCAGCCTGGCGTACCTAGTGAGACATTGTCTCAAAAAAAAGACAAAAATTAAAAACAAAAAAATGAGGGAATCTATTCTGTGTAAACGGGAAGATGTACTGCCAGATATATGGAGCAGAGCTCCCATCTTCCCTTCTTTGTGAAGAAGGCTCTCACTATGCAGTGCTGGCTGGCATCCTGCCTGGCACCTGAGAGGCTCATCCTCCTGCTTTGGCTTCCCAAGTGCTGGGGCTACACGCATGAACCACTACACTCAGCTTTTATTTTAACATTGTACAAAAAGACATGAACCATAACACATGCACCCCAAGCAGCTGGGCAAGGCCAGACCTGTATAGGGAACAAACAGGTAAGACGGCAAGAGCCTCAGGAAGGACGACACTCTCCTTCAGTCTCCACACCAGGCAACAAGTAGCACTGTCTGAGCAGGAAAGACTTACAGACACACAGCACACTGCCGGCTCAGCCGAGCCCTCCCTCGATGCCTCGGATCCTCCTGGCCAGCTGTATGTCCTTGGGGAAGAGGGTGACTCTGCGAGCGTGTAAGGTGAGGAGATAGGCGTCCTCGAAGAGGTGAACCAGAAACGCTTCTGCTGCCTGGGCACAAAGAGAAGACCACCATGGATGTAGGGCCCGGACTGTTTTCTCTTGGAGACACCCCGATTCAAAGGACTGAAGTAAAGAGCGGGGCGAACCCCGTGGCCGTCCATCACATCCCCTCCACACCATCCCGTATTACATGTTGGCTGTTCTTTTCGGGAGGTCAGGAACAGTCTGGGGGTACCTCAGATGCAGTCCTTTGGCATTCTGGGATACTCTTCCCCTCTCAGCCTTCACCTATCCCTACTCCTTACCTCTTGAAGGGCCAACAAGGCGTGGGCCTGCCAATAGAAGTCCACACCGCGAGTGAATTTCTGACAGATTTCTCTAACCTATGGAGGGGTGGGGTGGGGGTGAGCAGAGAGCAGAGTGAGTGAGTGTTCAAAGAGTGGAGGGTCTTTCTCCAAGTATCTCTCCGCATCCTCATTTCCTCCATCACCTGCTGCCCTTGATCTTAGGGCCTGGCTCAGAGTAGGTGCCGACTTCTGAGAGCTTTAACTGGCAGAGTTTATGGGTGGAGAGGAGAAAGGGCAATCTCCAGGGCAGGGAGGGAAACTGGAGGAGAGGGCTCTACCACAGACAGAGGGGATGAGGAGAAAACAGCCTCAGAAATACAGAGGATGTGCGGCGTCCCAAAGGTTAGAGGTGACCTTCAGCCACAAACCCAAGAGACTCAAAGGAGAGGTGGCCCAGAGCAGAGTGAAGGTCCCCAGAACTCACGACTCTGCCGAAAGGCTGTCTCCTCAGCAGGAGGTCTGTGCTCTTCTGCAGTTTCTGCATTTCCTTCAGCCACAGAAATTTCCGCCTGCGGCGTAGACTGGAAGCGCCTGAGCAGAAGAGGTAGGTCGTAAGGAAGGCACAGCGGAAATAACTGGTCCATTGCAGTGCAGCTGAGACCACAGATGTTTCCACAGGCCTCTACCCCAGAGCAGGGAATTCACTCCCAGCTGTTGGAGTCAGCAACGACGGCAGACAGGTGCTTAAGACAGGCTTGTTAGGCAAGCGCGGTCTGAGCCTTTGGGTTGGGTATTAACTCCCGTGAAGCCCTCTGAAACCCCAGTCACTTCCCAACAGCTCCTTCCTGCCGGGCCCTGCAGTACTCCACGCATCTATCTTTCCCATTCCCACCTAGACTGAAAAGTTCATTATTTCAATTTTTAGGCATTTTTCTTCCTTTTTTAACAGCTGGAAGGAATTAGATACTACCTAATATGAATCCCTTGTCTTGATTACTCTGGAGCCCAGGGAAGTAGTGATAGTTGGCCAGTGCTCATTAGAGGTTGTGTTGGAACTTTGGAAGTGGCATAATTCAGGGCTAGTGCTGGGAATGTGGGCTGTGAAGTCACAGCCTTTGGTAAAAATTCGAATTCTCACTAGAAAATAAAAACACATGCACAAAAAAAATCTGTTCTAGAGATGCAGCTCTGTAGTAGCGTGCTTGATTAGCATGCACGAAGTCATGGGTTCGACCCCTTGATTAGCATGCACGAAGCCATGGGTTCGACCCCTTGATTAGCATGCACGAAGCCATGGGTTCGATCCCTCGCGACAGACAAAGAAAGACCATACCTCTAAATTCTAATGCCGGAGAAGAAACTTAACTGATATTATTTAAAATGGTTACTATAAACATCTACTTTTTAAAAACCTGAAAGATACCCTAAAAACAGCGCCAGAAGCAAATGAAATATATCTAGTAGAAAACAAGACCACCAGATGAGTTAAGGTCCAGAGTGTGTACCATTCTTATAGAAGAACCAAGTTTGGTTCCTAGCGCTCATGTCAGGTCACGTGGCTCACACTGCCTACAACTTTAGGTCTAGGGGAACTAATGACTGGTGTCCTTGGGCACCTGTACTAAGGTGCATACACAAAATTAGAACTAAAAAGTGGGGTTGGAGACATGGCTCATTGGCTGAGAGTATTTGTTGTTCTTGCAGAGGACCTAGGTTTGGTGCCCAGTACCCATATGGTGGCTCACAACCATCTAACTCCAATTCCAGTGAATCCAATGCCCTGGCACCTGCATCTGACCTCTGTGGAGGTAAACACAAACACACACAATGTTGTGGTTGAATAAAAATGCCCCCCACAGGCATATAGGGAGTGGCCCTACTAGGAGGTGCACGTGTGTCACGGTCATTTCCTGCTGCCTTTGGATCCAGATGTAGAACTCTCAGCACCTTCTCCAGCAGCACGGCTGCCTGATGCTCCCCACCCAGATGACGACAGACTATCTCTGAACTGTAAGTCAGCCCCAGTGAAATGTTTCCCTGTATATGAGTTGCTGTGGTCATGGTGTTTCTTCAGTTATAAAATTCTAATTAAAACAAATAAAAACCACAAAAATCTTGGTGGGTGTTTTGCCTGTGTACATGTCTGTGTCTCATGTACATGCCTGGTGCCTGCAGACGTCAGGAGTCAGATCCCCTGCTCTGTGTTACAGGTGATTGTTAGCCGCTACGTACGCATCGGGAATCAAACCCTGGAAGAGTCAGTGCTCTCAACTGCTTAGCCTTCTCTCTAGGCCCCCAAAATAAAAATAAATCTTGAAAAAATAGATAACTGAGTTAAATTCAACTGAAGTGTTAGCTATTAAGATAAACAAGACAAATTAAATATAATTAGTGAAAATGAGAAATTAAATAAGTAAATAGTATACCTGCTCAATAATTATAAACAATGACTGATAAAAATGAATAAGCCTGATTAGTTGAACAGCTTGGCTAAGACAATTAACAAGACAAAGCACACACACACACACACACACACACACACACACACACAGACAGGTACTGGCTGGAGGTGCAGCTCAGAGCACCCACCTTGCACATACAAAGCCTCTGGTTCTATCCTGGTACTGCAAAATAGAAACACTGAAAAGGACAGCATTTAAGGATAAAATTAGCTTCAAAGAAACAGTTATTTAAGGTCCAGCCAATAAAGAATACTATCCCAAGCAGTGAGAACACTGCAAGGACCATGGAAGGAAGGGAGACAAGCAAATGGCCTGTTGCTAGGTGACAGGCAGAGGAGACTTAACTGTGGGTGAGGTTAGGATCATGAAGACAAAGAGAGAAGATCCTGTTCTGCTCTGGTTTGTGTTGCTGTGATAAACACCACAACCAACATCGTGGGGAGGGAGGGGTTACTTGGCTCACATGTCCATCCTCCAGAGAGGCCAGGGCAGGATTCCAGGCAGGAATCTGGAGGCAGGAACCATGGAGAAGCGCTACATACTGACCTGCTTTCCTAGCCCAAGCTCATTGCCCAGGGGTGGGCGGCACCACCCACAGTGGACTGGGTTCTCCCACACCAATTAAGAACATGCTTCACAGACGTGGCCATAGGCCAGTCTGATAGAAAGAAGTCCCCTCTTCCTGGGTGACAGGTTTATGTCATGCTGACAGCTGAAGCTAACAATAACAGACCACAGCAAGGGCTACATAGTAAGACCTTATTCTCTCTCAAAAAAGAAAGATTTTGAGACAGTCAAGAGGAGTAAGAGAGCTGTAAGATTCATGATGCAAGTACAACTGGTTATAAAAGGAACTGGTCAGAGGCGCAATGGAAAAGTGCGGGAACCAAAAGCACTGAAGACGGGGTTCCACGAGCCAAAGAAGAATTTCGAGCAGGGGTTAGTCCTTCTAGCCAGGCCCATAGGTCCAATTCCAACACCAGGGCGGCAGAGACAGGGCTAAACCTCAGGGTTTAGTACATGGAAGGCAATGCCACACCAAAAATTTTATTCTACGTATATGGGTCTTTGCCAACACGTATGTCTGTGTGTGCAGGGCCTGCAGACACCAGAAGGCATGGGATACCCTGGAAATGGAGTTAAAGATGGTTGTGAGCCACTATGTGGGTTCTGGGAGCTTTGCTGAAGTTCTCTGGAATATCAGCCAGTGCTCTTAACCTCTGAACCATCTCTTCAGCCCCTTCTTTGCCAAACTGCTTTTTTTTTTTATTTGAAAAATAACATTCCAACCAGGCGGTGGTGGTGCATACCTTTAATCCCAGCACTAGGGAGGCAGAGACAGGTGGATCTCTGTGAGTTCCGAGGCCTGGCCTACAGAGCGAGTTCCAGGAGTTCCAGGACAGGCTTCAAAGCTACAGAGAAACCCTGTCTCGAAAAACCAAACAAACAAAGGAAAAATAACATTCCAGTTGCCATGTAAGACAAGAACTGGAATGGGTTAAGAGTAGAGATAGAGGGGCTGGAGAAATGGCTCAGCCGGTAAGATCACTGGTTCAATTTCTAGCACCCACATGACAGTTCACAACTGTCTGTAACTCCTGTTCCAGAGGATCCGATGTTCCCAGCACCCTTACAGGGTAACTCATAGCTGCCTGTGATTTCGGGGATTCCGAGTCTTCTTCTGGCTGTCGCCAGCACCCTCATACATGGAGCACATACTCAGACACATACACACATACATAAAAATTAAAATAAATACTTTAAAAAACCCCACAGAGATCCGTGTCCGTCAGAATGAGCAGTGTCTTTGCTCAAGCTACCTGTCCTGTCTGCGCCTAGCTGTTCTCATTGACTGGAAAACCGCCAAGAAGCAAACTAGTTAACGTGGTTAGCGACAAGCGGTAACCAGAGGCAGCGCCGGTCCGTAGCTTCCGCAGGGCGAGCACGGGACCGGTCTCGGAGGTTCAGGCAGACACGCTTACCTTGACGGATGCTGCTCGATCGCGAGGGTCCGGGGACCGGGCTGGAGGGCCGTCTCGTCGGGGTCCTCGACGGGCGGCGCGGGCTCGGGCTGGAGGGCCGTCTCGTCGGGGTTCTCGACGGGCGGCGCGGGCTCGGGCTGGAGGGCCGTCTCGTCGGGGTTCTCGACGGGCGGCGCGGGCTCGGGTCTGGCCGCGAGGGTCCGGGCACCGGGCTGGGGGGCCGTCTCCTCGGGACCTTCGCCTTACGACGTGGGTCCATGGCTGGCAGGAGGGTCCAAGCTCCGCCGCCTCCGCTAAGCCTTCCGAGTCCTGCTGCCGAAGCCGGACGAAAGAGCGAGACGACCGTGCACCGTGCGCATCACCGACAACTGAACTCCGCCGCCATCAGTTCAAAATTCACCCGCTCCGCCCATCGCATTTTAAAATACCAACTCCGTGACTCTCAGTGGCTGACTCTGGAACGCCACCGTGGAGCGACAGCCGGAAGGACCAGTGATAATGAAGGGCTGGCCGCAGAGTCAGCCAATGGGAACCTGGAAAAGCGAAGGAAGGCGGGGCTTTCTCTCTTCGCTTGTTGCTCTTTGGCTCTGGTGCCCTCTGGGCAAAAGGATATCTCAGTTCTGTTGTGGGTGGTGAATTTGTAGAATTCATTCCCTCAAACGTTTTACGCGTTCACATCCACGTTGGTGTGCCTTTGAAGATGGGGAAACAGATCACCCAAGAATGTGACAACTCCATACAGCTCCCGTGGCCTTACAATATGAGATCAACCAGCCTCGGAACATTTCTAGGTTTGTGGGGACAGCCAGGATGATGGGATGTGAGGACAAGGTCCAAGCAGGGCAGGCGCTAGCACTCTTCTTGGATCGTGCTATCGAACACCATGACGATATTGTCCGAGAAAAACTGGCTTTTTCCTTTCTCCTCGGAGTGACATGAATTCGGGTCATGTCTCCGTAATTAGAATAAAGAGAATTTCAATTTCGTCATTTTGCTTTTTTGAGGCTTCTAAATGGTCTACCATGAACGTGTACTCTAATCAAGAAAATCCTTATATAAGCAGTGATTTCACAGAAGCCTTCTGCAACGTTGGGGTGGGTGGTGGAAAATGGTGCAGCTGCTATGGAAATGTGTCACGGTTCGAATCTGAAACGTCCTACAAAAGCTTGGTCCTGCGTGCAGCAGTGTTTAGGGGTGGGGACTTTGGGAGATGATTGGGCCGTAGGTGCCCTGACTTCCTGTGTGGATTTAATCCTAGCACTTGGGAGGTAGAGGGATGAGGTTTGCTACAGTTCAGGAGCAGCCTAGCCTAGTGGGTTGGAGGCTAGTCTAAAACAAACAAACAAACAAACCAATCATGACATAACTCAACGGTAAAGCACTCACCTCACACACAAGGTTCTGTCTTCAATCCCAGTATGCTACCCACTGAAAAGTTTCTGCACCCTGTCTCCGCAGACGCAATAATCCAAATCAGACCAAATCAAACCAAATTAGAGAAAGCCCAGGTTTAAGGGATGGCCTTCCAGCTCCTCAGAGAGGGGGTGAGGGGAGGAAGACGGGAAAGCCACGTGTATGTTCTCTGGTGTAAAATAACCTGTGGGAGTGGTCTCGAGCATCTCGGGGGAGGGGTCGTCCTTTGGTGGGCTTTCTCGGAGGTGGAGTCTGGACCGAGGCAACTCCCAGGGAGTTACTGTTTAGTCAGGGCAGAGTTTCCAACTGGGAAGTGAAAACAGTTCTAGCGACTGATGGTGGCTGTGGTTGTGTATGTACCATGGATGTTCTTAAGGTCATCAAAATTTTATATTTGCCACAGCCAGGCAGTGGTGGTGCACACCTTTAATTCCAGCACTTGGGAGGCAGAGGCAGGTGGATCTCAGTGAGTTCAAAGCCAGCTCTGATCGACAGAGCGAGTGCCAGGACAGGCTCCAAAGCTACAGAGAAACCCTGTCTCTCAAAAAAAGTTATATTTACTATAGGGGGGGAGGTCTTGCTAAGTCCTTTAAGGTATAGTCAAATGACAGAAGGATACTCCCCCGTCCCCAGTTATCCAGGTCTCAGCATGGATGGAAGAAATCCAGATCAACTGCTAATTAGACAGAGGAAATCTCCACTTACGAGCTCTGCTTTTAGACACTCTATTAAACTGGAAGTAGAAAGTTAGATGGAAGACAGGATCTCGTTTTCGTAAGAACCTGATGAAACTGACTACTACTGAAGCAGTAGTTATGGGTAGAAGGGGGGTGTTTATTAATAGACACATTTTTTACATATTTTGGTTTTTGAACCAATTGAACTATTGATTTGTTGTTGTTGTTGTTAAATAAGCTAAATGGAAACCAAGTGGGCTGAAGATGTCAAGGTGAACACTCGCCATCTCTGAGCTCTAGATGAATTGAATGGTACAAGGAGGAGTAAATTATAGCTCATAGGAGCCCTCCGAACTAATGGGGAGTTCAGCGTAGGTGAGAGAAAGGGGGAGACATTAGTTGGTTGTGACAGCTCTAAGACAGATGCCTTCAGCCGAAGCTGACATCACATAGGAACAAGCCGCTGAGTCAGGATTTGAACCCCACACCCAGCGATGGCGTCCACCTTCTGTCACCACACACTGCTTCTTGTGGTGGTTTTACTTTCTTTTTACTGAAGAGAGAACCAGGTGCAATTCACACATCTGAAGTCCCAGGCTGCTCTAGAGTCCGAGACAAGAAGACCATTCAGGCCCAGGGATTGTGGCCTGTAATGTGCTTTGCTGTTTTCGCATCACTGTGGTGACCTGGGAGCTGGGAACAACCACGTTGCTCATGCTAACTGGAAAAGACACACTCTGGCTTTCACAGTGCAGTGAGAAGCTATAAGGGAGTGAGGGGGGAGGGTGACAGCAGTGATAGGCTATGTGACTGAGCTATGTGACTGAGGCGTCACCACACCGACTCCAGGAGGTCTGGCTTGAAAAATATCAATTGTAATAGGCATGGTGGTTATGACCCATCAGCCCATCTACTTGAGAGGCCGAGGAAGACTTCAGTTCAAGGACTGCCTGGGCTACAGGGCCCAAAGCCAGTCTGGACAACTGAGGAAGACTCAAAATCAAAAGTAAAAATAGGACTGGGGCTATAGATCACTGGTAGAGAGCTTGCCTAGCAAGCATGAAGCCCTGTGTTCAATTTCCAACACACACACACACAAAACTTCTGGGCCACTTTCATGATCAGAATACACAGTCCCTACCTTGACTGTAGTCAGCTTAAGGGCATTGCTTGAGTATGGGCTTTATATAAGCTTTTTATATAAGCTTGGATTTCCTAGTTTCCTGTTCGCTAGCTTCGTGACTTTGGAGATTCACTTGCCTGCTGTAAACGATAGTTTCCATCTTGCGCAGCACAGGTAGGGACCCTTGTCTCACCATGGGGAGAACGAACTGACTAGGAAGCTGGACTTCCTCCTTTCTGTTTAGGGCTATGGCTTTCTGTTTTGGTCATGGATCCCATGTACCCTGTTCTAGCACTGCAGGTATAATAAGCTGAGAACAGTGTTTCCTTGAAGTTGTCTTGTGGCTTCTACATGCATATGCACACACGTGGACACACACCTGCTTCTACACATGCACTTAAACACGCACACACATTCACATGCATTTAAGAAGTAGATGAGGGTCACTAGAGTTGATTCTGCCCATGTGGCTCAAATGATCCCAAAGTGGGAGTTACCCTTGGGACAGCCGTGCCCCTCTACCTCCTGCAGCAGGGTATGGAGGCATGCTGTGCTCTGGTCTTCAGTCCTTTCCATCACGGACAGCCACTGCTTCCTCCTCCGTCACTTCTGGAGGAAAACCACTTTAAACCTGACCGCTATACACCTCCCTCTTTGCTACGGGCTGAAGGGGACATTTGCTTTGGATCCTGGGGGAGCACCGTAGAAATGGTTTGGCAGCACCGAGAGGAAAGCCCTGAGGAGGCAGGTAGCCTAGGCTGCAGCTCCTTGCGGTGCTTATGTAGAGGAGCAGTGGTGGAGCGTCCTGATGAACCTGAAGCTGTAAATGAACTCTTAACTCCTTGGATGTCCAAGAGGCAGACCAACCTCATGAGCTTCCCCAGACTTGTGGCAGCCTTTCTCAAGCCCTTCAGATGGGTGCACCTGTGGGAGCAAGGGGCACATCAAATGACAAAAGGTCATGTGTCCTGACTTCTGGGTGATCGGTTTTATCTTGTGGCAAATAACCTAGTTATGGCATTATGTAAATCATAAACAGCAGCAGTGCAGAACGGAGCCCAGTGCTGTCTTCACTCTCACTCCTGAATTAAGACAGGATTTCAGAAGGGAAGTATGGCCTGTGAGGCCACTGCTGCCAGACCCGGGTCTCCACTTTCTAAGATCAGGAGAGCCACAGCAGCACTGCTCCAGAACTCAGGTTCCCCAGGCCTAAAAAAGTGTTCAGTGTTCAAGCCGGCAGTGGTGGTGCACGCCTTTAATCCCAGCACTCAGGAGACAGAGGCAGGTGGATTGAGTTCGAGGCCAGCCTGGTCTAAAGAGTGAGCTCCAGGACACCCAGGGCTACACAGAGAAACCTTGTCTCACTATCCCCCCCCCAAAAGTGTTCAAGGGCAACCCAATTTTCTAAGACTCAAGTCTCCTGCTGATGGGTTTTGAGAGGATGTCAGCAAGTGGGCATGGCAGCTCATGCCCGCTTAGCACAAGTGGGGCAGCCCATGGAAGGTGAGATTCTGGCTACCAACTCTGGTCTGTCCATCTGTAGTAGAATGGGATGGGCAACGAACCAGGGCGTTTGGCATTGTCTGTAACAGACTGTGCCCTCAGGGAAGTCCTTTCCATGCTGGGCATTAGTGTCTTTCAGGATTTTTACAATTGTTATTATGTATGTATGATATGTATGTGAGCGTGGTTGCATGTGTGCTACAGCATGTGGAGGTCAGAGGGCAACATTTAGGAGTCAGTTTGCTTCTTCCACTGAGGGTTCTGGGATTGATCAGGTCACCAGGCTTGTGAGGCCTTGGGCTCTACAGTCTTCCTTGGAAGGAATAAATGATGCCTGTGCTTCTGACACTCAGTATCCATTCTAGATGCGACTCCTGGGCCTCTCTTACGCCTTCTCTATTTCATTAAAAAAGTTCAATATTGACAATTTTCCATTTCTTTTTTAAAAAATAAACGCAAAAACAACATCCCCCAATTGGCTATGGGTGGGGCGCTAGTTTTGATTTTGTACAGACAGCTTCCACACTGTCTCTGCCACCTTGAGTAAGTGGGCACAGAATCCTCATCTACGTCTCCCTGGTCACACACTGTAATCCAGAGAAGTGTGGGGCCCCGGGACTCAGGGCCGATGGAAAGGAGAGTTTCTTCCTCAACACACCATGAGAATCTGTGGGAATCAACGGTAAACTGAGGACCC